GGGACTGAGGAAGGACACTGCCAACCTGGCCCCAGAATCCAAGTCTGGCCGGTGTCCAGGTGGGCGGCCTCAGTGAATGGCATTACTTGTCAGAGCCTCGGCTTCCTCACCTGTCAAATTGTGAGAAAAGGTGGCTATCCAATGGGACTATTGTGAAATATCACACAGATAGCCAAATATGGGTCTGGCACACAATAGATGATCAACAAATGTTACTTTCTTTCCACCCTTCTCCTTCACCCCAAGCCAAACCCCAACCTCAGGCCTCTGGCTACCTCTGTGCAGACATGGCTTCTTGGGGAAGCCATGCTGCCTGGGCTGGGGGTCATCCCCACCCTGCCTCGCAGAGCCTCTTGGGATCTCGGTTGGGTTGTTCTCCTTAAGAGCAGGTGAGCACACTTTCCAAAGCACTGCATGGAAGCACTAAATAAAGGTCACGTGGTTGTTGGCCACTGTCTGGAGCTTTCTTTCATTCGTTCATTTATTCATTTGACAAATATTTACTGAGTGACTACCTACTACTTGTAACAAAGTGTTTGCCTTCAAGGAAATTACATTCCAGAGGGGCAATGGAGGTGGTAGGTGAGGTAGAAGAACAGACAATAAACAAGTAAGTCTAAAATATAAGAAAGTTATGGAGAAAACTAAAGTAGGGGACGTTTCTCTCTGCACCTCCCAACAGTGACTGTAATTTCATCCATTATAATAATTATAATACTCACTGTTGTTTATTTAAGCATTGGGTATATGACAGGTGATACCTACTTCTCTCTACAGGGTGGCTGATATTAACAGATATGGAAATAGAGGCTCAGAGAGGTTCAGTGACTTGCTCTGTCTGGCAGGGTTCAAATTGGAATTTAGGTCTGCTATTCATTTATCCCTCACACATTATGGTGGGAGTTGTAAACAGTGGATCAAGACAGACATGGTCCTTGTCCCCTTGTATATCCATTTGGATGGGCAGACAGACCTTGGACCAGCCCCATACACCATGAGGCTGTCTTGTTCTTCAAGGTATCATGGAGCATGATGTGGCGAAATGGGACACAGTGGTAATAACAACAATGGCTGGTGTTTACTGAACACTTACTACATGTCCAGTGCTGTGCTCAGCACCTTTCCCTCATTCTGTTTAGATGCTGTTATTCCCATTTCACAGAGTAAACAGGGGCTTAAAGCAGTTAACAGGCCTGACATTAGTTACACAGTCAGCCTGATGCCCAGGGCAGTTTCCCCAGTGGTCAGTGTTGGAGGAGAAGGGAGATGGGACTGGGTGGTGTTAGCCTAATGTTGGTGGGCAAGGCCAATGTCAAGATATCAAGGGATCAACAGTGACCCTTTAGCATCTGGAAGTATTAGACTTTACCAGCCAGTACCTGGGTCCCTGGGACCTCTGAAGCCAAGAATGACTGCACCTCAACATTTCTCAGACTCTAGGCCACCGCCTTCACTCCTCAGCAGGTGCTGAGGTGAGGGAGCTAGGTGGCCCCTGATAAGACTTCACTCTGGTCTGGAGGCCCACCTTAAGCTCAGGGGAGTTAAATGTGTTGTGGTGCAGCTGCCCTTCACCCATTTGGAATCTGATGAGAATCTTGCATGGGTAGCGAGCCATTATCATTATGTTTAACTAGTGTCTGTTGTCATCATTTGCAAAGTCATGGGGCTCAGAGAGACCCCAGGGATTGGTAATCACTTGGTGGTAGAGCTCCTGCACACAAAATCACCAGGAAGGAGGTTGGGCTGGCAGCCCCTATGCTGCCCCTGGCCCCACCTCCCATAAGGAGCCTGGGAGAAAGGCAAGTCTCAGATGACAGGCCAGGCCCCACCCCTTCCAATTTACATACTCCACTCAAGGTCTGATTAAGGGGACCCAATCTCCTTTCTTGGAGTCATTTAATTTCTGGGGACAGTTCTTGGTCTGTGTGGAGTGTCCAGAGGCAGAGTCCGCAGCTCAGCTCTGCAGCCTACCAGGCGAGCGGCCTGAGCAAATCAGATCTTTCTCTTGGCCTCAGTTTCTCCAATTGTAAAGGAAGATAAATGAAGACTTCTACTGCTTACCGCACAGCTCTCTTATAAAGAACTGTTACTACTGCCATAGATAGAAATTGCAATAAATTTAATAGTTGGGGCCGTTTTCTCATTCCAGTCTCTGTGCTAAATGCTTTACCTTTGTTAATTTTGTTCTAGTCCTAAATGAGTGGGTAGTTAGCATCCCTATTTTATAGTAGAGAAACCGGAGCACAGAGAAGTTGATGATCCAGCCAAGGTCACACAGCTAGGAGTGATAGAACAGGGACTCCCCAGCACCTATCCTGCTCTCTCTATACTTTTCATCTGATATTCTTTTTCTTGATGTCGGCGAGGGTCTAATCTGACTGTAGGCTGTCCCCTTCAGTGTAGTCTTACCTGTCCGTTGGCATCTGGAGCAGTTAGAGCTGCTGCTCAGGGGCTTTATCTTTGGGACCAGTCTTCCCGCTTGGCTTGGATGCCCTTGGAACATGCAGAGGAGTAAATTAAAAACATGCAGAGGTAGAAATGAGGTTGCAAATCCCAGGAGGTTCTGGTTGTCCACCCCTCACTCTTCCACCTCCTGCTCTGGCCAACTCAGACCCACCTGCTTGCTGCCCAGCTTTGGGGGAAGATTTTTCCAATCTGCCCTCTCCCTGGGAGTCTGTCCATTAAATGCTCTTGTCCAATGTCCTGCTTGAGTGGAACTTGAGGCCTGATCTCCTGTCCTCATGACCTTAAATTTCAAAGCTCCCTCTTTCCCAAAGCCCAGCAGCAGGAGATGGTCACTCTGTTCCTACCTGCCCTTCTGTTGGTCAGTTCTGTCTTCAACCCATGGCCCCAACAGGCTCCCTTGCCTTCCAGTGAGCCCAGCGGAGCATTGCTAGTTCTTATGCACAATTTATTAATTTCACAAAACAAAAGCATTGTCAGGTATCCAGCCTGCCAAATTGTCAGACCTGTGTGCATGTCCACCCTGTCGATGTGGCTTTGTCGCAGGCCCTCTGTCAGGAATTTATTACACACATGAGGTGTGTAATACCAATGTGAGAATATGTGCAGAGTCAGGGACCCAGTAGGTGTGTGATGGAGCTGGAATTTGAGCCCCTGTTTTAACAGGGTGCTGTGGATGGGCTGGCCTGGAATGTCAGGGTAAAGTGGCTTGGGCTACAGGAAGCCACTCAGTGGTGATTGGGTGGGGGCAGGGGAGTACAGGTTGTCTGTGTCTTAGCAGCCCGGGTTAGGGTGGCCATGGGTGGGTGGGAAAAGGGTGTGTCTGAGTGTGGGTCCCAGTGACCTGGGACTTAAAGCAACTTGGAGGCTGCCTTATCCACCTCCCGCACTGCTTAAGCCACTTCATCCCAACATCCTGAAGCACTTCTCCCCACTCGATCATGCCTGCTCAGCACTACTTCATCTCCTGCTCCAGCTTTGGGGGCCTTTCCCAACAGGCTGCTCTCCCTGAAACCCACACCACCCTGGCTCTGAGTGCGAACTTGCTGAATGCTCACTCGGAGTTCACGCTGCACACAGGGCTTCCTACAGAGTGCCTTGGTCCACCTTCATTCTGTGCAGTAGACACTGCTTGCGAACCTGTTTGAGGCCCAGAGAGGCAAAGAGTGTGGGTGGCAGCATTCCTGCAACTGGCTACTCAGGACCCTTCCACCCCCACTAAGAGCCCAGCACCACTGGGCAGAGCCATCTTCAAATAGCTGGGAAGACTTGTGGAAAGTGACTTCTCAGCAGCTCCCCAGACCCCCTACTGAACCTTCCTGTTTACATACCTGCTCTTTTCCACCCTGACTGTGGGCAGTCCTCACTCCTCTTCCCCAGCCCCTGCCTTCTAGGAGACCAAGGCCTGAGGATGCAGATGTCCAGGGTCCAGGTTCCAGCCTTCCCTGGAGATGCTCACAGTCTGGCCAAGAGGAGTGGGTGAGCCTGCGACTGGCAAGTGACACACAGCAGTAGTAACAGGGGCTCACAGAGAACAAGGGCTGTGTGTCAGGCACCTGCGAGGAGTCAGACGCAGAGCTGAGAGTGCTAAAAATTTTTTTAACTTCTAGTTCTTATTTTTGAACACTTAACAAGACAACATTCAAACAAATTTTAAAAGTTAGGATGGATTAATTTACAGTAAAATAATCAACTTAAAATATCAACCCTTTCATTTAGGGCCAAGGAGGCCAATAGTTCCCATTTAAACAGATTTACAAAATTTATATTTTAACCTATATTTGATGGCATCGAAATATAAAAAGTATACAACTTCCATTGAGACCTTCCCTTCCCTTCAGAGTATAATTCATACAATTGCTCCTTTGTTCAGTTCTCAAACTTTTAAAAAATCACCAGTTCTATTTTGAAATATATCTACAACTCCACTGATAACAAGAACACTCTTAAAACAATTCTTATAGGACAAACTCTTACTGTTTTCTGTCATTGCCATGAGAAAAGTACTGTTGCAAAGTTTCCCTTTTACCTCTGAGTACATGGGACTCAGGGAGGGCTCAGCACTGGCTGAAAGTCACAGGACCAGAAATGGATGCTCCTGAGATGTGAGCCCAGGCTCAGGCTCCGGAGTCTGTGAGCAATGCAGGTGTTGAAGAAATGCTGTTTTGAGGGTTGTTGCCAGATGCTGTGAGAGCTGTTCACGTGCACAGTTTACGCCCTAATTTGAGTGTTGTGGGGAGTGGGCGGTCATTCACAGGGTTGTCCCATCCTCTGGCCTTGGGAGCCTGGGCCAGCAGCCCACACGTCTCTCTCCTCCCCTGCCAGTCAGCTACCTAAGGGCAGGCAGCGATTGGGGCTTGAGTGGGCGTGTGCATGACTGGTGCTCAGGCTTGGTCATCATGCCAGGATGGACCTCTCGGAGATAAGGAATGGGTGCTCAGTGGATCTTTGTGGAGCTCAGCCTCCCTTCTTATCCAGGCTGGTCTCCTCCCCGGATATCCTGGACCTGACCCCAGGCTTTCACCCTCTCCTCACAGGGAGCCGGGAGGCCGCCTTCACCTACGCCATCATCGCTGCCGGTGTGGCCCATGCCATCACAGCTGCCTGCACCCAGGGCAACCTAAGTGACTGTGGCTGCGACAAGGAGAAGCAAGGCCAGTACCACCGGGATGAGGGCTGGAAGTGGGGTGGCTGCTCGGCCGACATCCGCTACGGCATCGGCTTTGCCAAGGTCTTCGTGGATGCCCGGGAGATCAAGCAGAACGCCAGGACGCTCATGAACCTGCACAACAATGAGGCGGGCCGGAAGGTAGGGCGGGAGGCCTGGGACAGCCTGCTCCCAGGCGGCAGGGCTCCCGGAAAGGCCACAGAGCTCCTCCCCTAGCTGGCTCTGCCCTCCCCAGCTGCTGATAGGGCTCAGGGTGTGGCATGAAGCTTGTCAGTTACTAGAGAGGTTGAATAACTGAATCTAGGTGAAAACAAATTTGATGTAACAGTGAGATGGAAAGAGGGAGGCTTGTGAACTCTTATCCTTGGGTCCACAAAATCAGCTGTGCAAACTCTGATTGGGGGAGAGGTTAAGATGAGTTGAGCAGGAGTCATCCCTTAACAGCAGGGCCGCAAGCATGTCATTGATCACCACAGCTGGAATCTGGCACTCAAAATAAAGGCAACTTTTTGAGTGCTTCCTCAGATGCTCCTGGATTCTGAGCTCAGCTTGGAAGAGAGCTAGGAATGTTCCAGGATATTTCTAGTGGAGGTGGCTGGGACAGAAAGGGGCTGGACACCCATCCCATGAAAAGCTGGCTGTCCTAAGGCAAGGAAGCAGAAGGGCCCAGAGTGCAGAGTGAGGGCCCACGGGGTGACAGGATCACGGAGAAGTAGGTCCTGCTGTGAGGAGCCAAGCCAAAGCCATGAGATATGGAGTGAGTTACCAAGAAAGGAGTGAGCTCTTTATCCCAGGAAGTATTTGGGCAGAGGCAGCTCAAGGTACCCAAGTCAGTGCTCCTGGCTCAGGCTGTGCCCTGGGCTGCAGCCTAAGGCTGGGAGTATGCTCTTAAGTGCCTTTGAAGGCTGAGGTGCTCAGAACCCTTCCTGGAACCCCTAGGCCCAGGAGATGCTGGGAGAGGAAAAGCTCAGATGTCAGGTGGAGCTCTGTGGTGAAGTGTCTGTGAGCCAGGGCAGATGGAGAGGGGGGCTTAGGGCTACCTGGGTGGGAACAGACCACTGCAGTGATAAGATTTGTGCTGACACCACCTGGGGCCACAAATGCTGGTACCCAGGGTGGCTGGGCAGGAGCAAGAGTGACAAAGACCTAAAAAACCATACACAAGGCTATATTGGACCCAGGAATGCAGACCCCATCCACAGGCCACCACTGTGGTTGTACAGGAAGGCCAGCCCACTGGGGCCAGACCCTGAGTTTAGACTCAGATTTTTATGTACCATCACTTCATTTTTAAGTGTTGGCATTTCAAATTGATTGTCAACAGTAGAAAAGGTAAAAAAGAAAGAGGATTACCAGAGGCTCAAGTATTTAACTGGCTAAGTGTGGGCTATGAACACCCCATTTGGGTGACAGATGTATTAAGTGGCACATATCTTGCTCTGCTGGAGCATGTCTGTGGGCCAGGCAGTCTTATAGCTCTGGATGTATCAGCTCGCCTAATTCTCAAGGCATCTCTAAGAACAGTAGCATCATTATCCCCATTTTACAAGTGAAGAAATTGAGGCTCAGAGTGGCTAAGTAATGGGCTGAGGGTCCCATCTCTACTAATAAAAGGGTAATATACTAATTAGGACCTCTTCCAGACGTCCTCTGGACGTCCATCTGGACAAAGCCACAGCGGCTGCGAGGGCCTTGGGCTGGGGGCATGGGCAGGGCCCACGCGGGAGAGGCGGGCCTGTGCCGTGGGCTGGTCCAGTGCCGTGGCCCCTTTTGCAGAGGCCTGGGGCTCAGGCAGCCATGAGCCCCAGCAGCTGTGAGGCCCAGGGCTCAGGCCTCGCAGCTGTGGAGGCTGGCAGTGACAGCAGCAGCAGGGTGATGGGGGCAATGCCTTTCCTTGTTCGGCCAGTTGCCTCCCACAGAGGGAGGCCAGACTGCTACTTAGGTCCAAGGGGAACGGGCCTAAGCCATCAGTAGGACATCCCCTGAGGGCTCCCAGACTGTGAGAGGGGGCAGGCCTGGCTGAGGGACCCCCCCAGTGCATGAATTTTCATGCACTGGGCCTCTAGTAGTTAATAAGCAGTGCCAGAATTCTGTCTCTAAGCTAACATTCTTTTTTTAAAAATATATTTTTATTGATTTCAGATAAGAAAGGAGAGGGAGAGAGAGATAGAAACATCAATGATAAGAGAGAATCACTGATCGGCTGGCTGCCTCTTGCACACCCCACACAGGGGATTGAGCCTGCAACCCAGGCTTGTGCCCTTGACCGGAATCAAAACTGGGACCCTTCAGTCCACAGGCCAATGCTCTATCCACTGAGCCAAACCAACTAGGGCAAAAGCTGACACTCTTTATACAGCATACATTGCTGTGGCATGGTGCTTAGAAGGCTGCCTGTAGGCTGGCACTGGGCTGCCTGGTTTAGATTCCAGCTTTATTATTTCTTCCCAGGAAGGAAGTAGAGCTGGCAGGAGTGTCCTCAGGGCTGAGGTGAGGAGGGAAGGAGACAAGGCAGGAGACCACTTACCCCGGGGCCTGGTACAGAGTTTATCCTCAGCACAGGGCGGCTGTGATTACAAGTTGTGCAAACGCGTAACGCAGGAGGGAGTCCGTCTGGCAAGTGTTGGGGGTAAGGGGGGTAGCCTGCACACCTTAGAGAGGAGCAAGGTTCCCCTCTTGCAGATGAATGGGAGAGGACAAGCTGGCCCTTCCTACAGCCTTCAGGTACCCTTCCCTCCCTCCTCTTCTCGAGCCTCTGGCCACATCCTGTGTGTAAGAGCCTCCCAGGAGTCTGGGTGAGTCACACCTGCAGAAACTCACCTGACACGATGCTGTCCTGGGTTAATTGGAAGGCCCTGCCTGGCTGGCAGCTCCTGTGCAGCCAGCACATCCCTCCAGGCTTTTCAGCTATTCATTTCTTCTAGTTTCTGTGGTCAGATCACTCTTTAGGGCACAGGGCACAGGGCACAGGGTGTAGACTTCCTCCTGCCCTTGAAACACTCCCTGGAGGCAGAAAAAGGGAGTGCTTCAAGAGTCTTCCCTCTTCCAGCCTCCGTTTCCTTATCCGTGGCTACCTGGTTGGGCCACTGTGAGAATTAAAGAAGAGAATTCTTAGCTTGGGATAAGAAAGGTTCAGTATATCCAGTGGGAAAAGCTTTCACAAGCCACAGAGTTCCACAGCGTGAGGGCTGCGGCTGCTGTTCCAGGCAACTCTTGGGTGGTGCAGCTGCTGGAATCTGTCAGACATCATAAGATCAACCTCAGTGGCTTCCTGGAGGAGACAAGTGAGGTTTGGCTTGGCAGGGAAGAGAGGTGAAGGTAACACAGGTTTGGTGTGGGGAGGCAGTGGTCAAAGGTCCAGAGGTGAGGGCTTGGGGCAAGTTCAGGGGCCCAGACTGGCTGGTCTGTGAGTCACAGCATCTGGAGAGCCTGCATGGTCACCTGCCAGGCCAGGGAGTGAGAGCCTTGATTTGTCCCCTCAGATCTTTCTGTGGTTGCTGTCAGGTTTCAGCTCAGATGTCCCCCTTCAGACAAGCTTCCTTTCCAATTCCTTCCTAGCCTTTTCTCAGATGTCATCTTGTTCCTTTCTCTCCCACCCCATTCCATACCAGATCATGAGCTTGAAGTGTCTCATTCACAGCTGCACCCCCAAGGCTGGCATCAACGAGCCACTCTCTGTGTAGAGTGAAGAGTTGAGTACCTATGGTCACTGGTGAACCACTGATGGTTCTGGAGCAGGGAAGGGGCAGAACTCATAGACACTGACTCCAGGAAGGCAGAGTGAGGCCCTGGGCGGGATCAAGAATGGGGTGCAGAATGAGTGCAGACTGGGCTCTCCCAGAATGATGAGGAAAATAATATGGGGTGGGAGGGGGAAGAGGTGCTAGCAGCCTGACTCTATCTCTAATGCACATTCCTGTTAGCCTATAGTCTAGTCACTGCCCCTTCCTTAATTATCTGGTCTTGCAAGACCTGTTTACCTAAATACTCCCATTTCACAGAGGCCATAAACCATGAAACATACACAAGCCCTGGAGGGGGTTATCAGCGCTGGTGCCAGGCCAGGCCAGGCCAGGCCAGGCCTTTAGGTATGGTTTCACATCCACCATCCCAACACACGGGGCTTTTTGCAAAGCCCGCAAAAGGTCCGGAAGTCTGATCCATATTTGGGGGATAAAGAAACCAAAGGGTATAAAGAGAAAGCTTCCTCCATATTGGCTCGCTCAGGATTTGGAAATAGGCTCCCCTGAGTCATGGTACTAGTACATCGGGAAATAAATGGTTTTTTCCTGTATCTCTGGGCACTCCTGTGTATTTTTCGGTCGCCTGGTAAATTCTGTAACAAGCTCAGGGAAACCAGCAGAAGGGCTCTCCCCATGTCAGCCCAGCTCCACTCTGGCTTGTGAGGACCCTTGTGGGTGGCTCCCCGGGATAGCAGTTCAACCTGGCGCTCTGTATTTTCCAGAGTCAAGAAGTGGGATTTGGGACTCCCCAGTGTACATAGGGAAAGGCCTGACCATCCACAGGTCTGGCCCTTTGTGGTGTGGGAGTGCAGACCCAGGGCAGTATCCATACTGCTCAGCCAGATCCCAGCAGGCTGGTGGTTTCTTAGCCCAGCCCTCTCTGCTACAGGGCACCTGAGCACCCACACACATATCCAAGTGGTCAGGAGCAAGGACAGCCACCTAGCCTAAGGCTTGGTTTATATCAGTTCTGAGTCCCATCCCTACTTGGAGATACAGTTTCCCCATTTGTCAAATGGGACTATGACATTGATTTATTCTGGATCCCAGGTGCTGGTCAGGGCCAGGTGAGGGTACACAGGGGAGGTGCCCCAGGATCCTGCTGTGTGCCATTTATTAGAAGGCATGGGGCCTCACCCCAGAACCTCCCCCACAGTAGGCTTCTGTGGGTCACACACACAGAGGAGAAAAGAGGCAGCCCGCAGCCACTCCTGGCTGAGTGTCTTGGAAAGGCTCACAGATGTGTTTATCACTGGCTCCCTCACTCCTGCTGTCAGCAGACAAGACTCAACCTGACCACAGGCTCTGGTGCTTGTTGGCAGCTGTTTGAGAAAAGGAGGAGGCAGGGAAAGTTAGGGAGGGGGTGCGTGTATCGAGGGGCAGAAGTGGTGGCAGATC